ATCAACCAATTCTTTTTGGTACAGTGATTCTGTTTATTCCTTATATCTTCTTTTGATGTTTTCTGCATCATTCAATATTTTCTCCACTAGGAGCTCTGGTAGCGTAGTGGTTACGAATTGGGCTGCGAACCTTAAGGTCAGCGGTTTGAAACTACCAGCCGCTCCGCGGGAGAAAGATGAGACTTTCTACTCCCGTAAAGATTTACACCCTCGGAAACCCTGTACAGGGTCGCTATGGGTCGGAACCGACTCAATGGCACTTAACAACAACAACAACAACAAGGTGTTGTTAAGTGTGGTTGAGTCTGTTTCCACTCATAGCGACCCTGTATAGGGTTTCTGAGGAGCAGTTGGTGGGTTTGAACTGCCAACCTTGCAGTTAGTAGTCCAGTGCTTATCCTACAGCACCACACTAGTAGTCCTTCAGAATTGTAGCCTGAGGCTTAATTTTTTTTTCCTTAAATTCTTTCAGCTTGAGAAATTCTGAGCATATTCTTACCTGTTGTTTTCCAACTCCAAGTCTTTGCACATTTCCTTAGAATACTCGACTTTATCTGCTTGAGTTGCCCTTTGAAACTTTCAGTTCATTTACTTCATCATTTCTTCCAGTTGCTTTAGACTACATTCAAGAGCAAGCTTTAGACTTTTCTGACATCCATTTTGGTCTTTTCTTTCTTTTTTACTGACCTTTACATACATACTTAATGTATGATGTTTTTGATGTCAGACCACAGCTCCTCTGGCCTTCAGACATTAGTGTTTTATACATCAAACCTGTTCTTGTGATGGTCTCTACATCTAGATGGGAGATATGTTGGCTCTTGTAGAATTGCTTTAATTGTTTAATTGCTTTAGCCTAAGCTTGCAAATGAGCAACTGATGGTCTGTTCTACATTTGGCCCCTGACCTCGTTTTTTGTTAATGACATTGAGCTTCTCCCATTCTCTTGCCACTGATGTAGTCATTTTGATTCCTGTGTAGTTCATCTTGCGTGGTTCACGCATATAGTCACCACATATTGTTGAAAAAGGATATCTGCAATGAATATGTCACTGGTCTTCCAAAATCTTATCATGAGATCTTTAGCATTGTTTCTGTCACCAAGGCTAATTTTCCCAACTATGGATCCTTACTTTTTCTTTCAACTTTTGCATTCCAATCACCAGTAATTATCAATGCATCTTGATTGCATGTTTGGTCAATTTCAGACTAAAGAAGTTGGTAGAATTCTTCAATTTCATCATCACTGGCTTAAATGGTTGCTGAGTATTTGAATACTCAGTAAATTTGAATAATAGTGGTCTTCCTTGTAGGCATATGGATATTATCCTATTACAGATAGCATTGTACTTCAAGATCTTGACCTGATTTTCTTGACGATGAATGTGATGTCATTCCCCTTCAATTTGTCATTCCAGGCATAGTAAAACATATGATTGTCTGATTCAAAATGACCAATACCTGTCCATTTCAGTTCACTAATGCCTAGAATGTGGATCTTTATATGTTTCATTTCATTTTGATAACTTCCAATTTTCCTAGATTCATACTTCGTACATGTCATGTTCCAATTATTGATGGATGTTTGCAGCTATTTCTCCTTATTATGAGTTGTACCCCATCAGCATAATGAATCTCCCAAAAGCTTTGCTCCATCCACATCATTAAGGTCAACTGTACTTTGAGGAGACAGCTCTTCCCTGGTCATATTTTCAGTGCCCTCCAACCTATGGGTCTCATCTTCTGGCACTATATTTAAAAAAACAATGTTCCACTGCTGTTCATAAGGGTTTCAGTGTCTAACCCTTCAGAAATGGTTCACCTCTCCTTCTTCCTAGTCTTTCTTAGACTGGAAGCTCTGTTGAAACCTATCCACCATGGGTGACCCTTCAGGTATTTAAAATACTGATATTTAAAATAGTTTCCAGCATCATAGCACCACAAAGCCACCGCAGTACAACAAACTGACGAGTAGGGGTGAGGGGACAGAATGCATCCCATCACACTTTCTGTACCTATCATGGACCTCAGGAAACACACAGATATAGTTTCTGGGTAGCACATACTCTGAGTACCACACTGACACTCCCATTTCATCTGCTATGGTCTCTGTGTTGGGATAGTACAGGGGCTTCCCAGTAAGATCTATCACTTTCCTGGGCTTTACCTGAGCATGTGCTCTGCTCTGAAGTCCTTAAACCTATGTGTTCACCTCCCATCCCACTTTGGGACTGGCTATGAGGGAACACGTTCAGGGGCATTATTTTCACGTCTCTTTTGCTTCCTTTCCTAGCTTCATTCTTGTCATTAGCTAAGAAAGCATTTTATTCTGACTGGAGTAAAGAAAACTGATTCTGTCTAATAATGAAATGTCCAAAATCTATCATTTAACCTCATCCTCTGAGTTTAAAAGTTTTTATTTTTTGTTCTCAAGGCTGATTCTGAGAGCTCTCCCTTGGAACAATGGGACCTCAATACTAAAAATCTAAATGGTAGAGAAGAAAATAATTACTGTCCCATTGTATAATTCTGAAACACTATGATAAGAGCTAAACTAGAAATTTACTTAGAGGCCCTGGGTAATGAAAACGGTTAAGGGTTTGCTGCTAGTGAAAAGGCTGGAGGTTCCAGAGAAAGAAAGGTCTGAAAATCCACTTTGGAAAGACCAGTCATTGAGAACCCCATGGGTTCTGCCACAAATGGGGTTGCCATGAATGGGAATTAACTAAACACCAACTGATGTTTTTAAAAGAAGAAATATGCACAGAATACTAGTTGAGGGCATGGCGAATAGGGTAGGGTAGGGGCATGGGAAGAGTAGTAGAGAAAGTAAATCACACAGACTAGAGGGGCGGGGGGAGAAAAGTAGAGAAGTTTTCTGAAGAAAGAATAGCTATGTTGAGCCAACTAGGATGAGTAAAGATGAGAAATTACTGATTCCAAGCAAAAAAGCAAGATATACGAAGATCCAAAAGCAAGAGTATAACCCTATTCTGAGTACTGAAAAATCAGACTGGACCTCAATGTATAAAGGAGAGAAACGTGTGCACAGGAGACAGGCTCCAGGTGAGGCTCCCTTAAAAGGTCTGTAGTAGCCAGCTCATGACGCCCTTTGTGTGCCATGATGAGAAATTTGTCATTAAGGGGTCTTAGAAGGAAGTAACATGACCATATTTAAAATTTTTCTGCTTATTCCTCTGATCTTGAATCAACTCTGTGCCAAACTGAATATATTTTTTATTTATCTCAAGCCCAGTACAGTGCCTGACACTGTTTATGGGGTTTCTGAGGAGCGGCTGGTAGATTTGAATCCCTGGTCTTGCTAGCAGTCATGAGCTTATCTTATAACACCACACCAGGACTCCTGACAATTTCTTGTTTTTAAGTGCTGTTGAGTTGGTTTCATAGAGACCCTATGTACAAGAGAACTGTTCAGTTCAACATCATCCTCACAATAGTTTTTATGTTTGAGCCCATTGTTGCTTCCACGGTGTCAATAATCCGGTTGGGTGTGTTCCTCTTTTTCAATGACCCTCCACTTTTTCAATCAATATGTTCTTCTCCAGGGACTAGTTCCCTTCGGAAAATATGTTCAAAGTACAACCAAGTCTGGCCATCCTTGCTTCTAAGGAGCATTCTGGCTGCACTTCTTCCAAGACAGATTTGTTTGTTCTTCTGGCAGTCTAGGTTACTTTTAATATCCTTCTCCAACACCATAACTCAAATGCATCAATTATTCTACAATCTTCCTTATTCATGTCCAACTGCCATATGCATATAAGGCTATTAAAAATGCCATAGCTTGGGTGAGTTATACCTTAGCCCTCAAACTGACCTCTTTACTCCTGAACACTTACTTTAAAGTGGTCTTGTGCAGCAGATTTGCTTAATGCAATATATTGTTAGACTTCTTGACTGCTGCTTCCAGGAGTGTTGATAGTGTATCCAAGTAAAATGAAGTTTTGACAATTCCAATCTTTTCTCCATTTATCATGATGCAGTGTTTCATTCTGCTGTGCATAGAGTTGCTATGAGTCAGTACTGACTAGATGGCACCTAACAACAACAATTTATTGATTCAGTGGTGAGGATTTTTGCTTTTTTTTACATTGAGGTGCAACCCATAGTGAAGGCTGTGGTCTTTGATCTTCATCAGTAAGTATTTAAAGTCCTCTTCACTTCCAGTAAGCAAAGTTATGTCATCTGCATATCGCAGGTCGTTCATGAGTCTTCCTCCAATCCTGATGCCACATTATTCTTCAAATAATTCAACTTCTAGGAGTATTTGCTGACACAATAGGTAATCAATAAATTATTCATTAAAGAAAAGGAGGTAAGAGAGGAAAAGGAGAAAGAAAGAAGAAAACGAAGCCTGTAAGTAAACAATTCAGAAATTATTTGTTTGCCAACCTGCTACAAAGCATCAACTATGGGCAAGTGCCTGTGATGGGCAGAAGGAACTACAATAATTAGCATTCCTGCGTACTCAGAACTTTCACTTACTAGCGTCAACAATTGCTAGACCACAGTTGTGTTTCCCCATTGCCTCTTTTCTCTCACCCCTGCTCCTTTTCTTCGGAGCTCCGGCTCCACCTCTTCCTTTCCTTCGCCACCCTCTCCGAACAGACGGCCGTCCGGGCTTTCCCGCGCTCCGGCCGCTGGGAAAAGAGTAGTGTGTGGGAGCGATGCAGCAGCGGCAGACATGCGCAAATTTAGGACGGCCTACTGCGCATGCGGGAACATGGCGGCCCTGACGTTTTGAACAGTATTGGGTCACCTTTTTCTCCTACAGTCTATGCTAGCAACTCTTAGGTTCGTGGAGGTAGTGACGCTTTTGTTTGCAGGGTAACCCAGACGGGCGGCGCCTCCGAGTAGTCCCGGGATCTGTTTCGTGCGTAGTCCCCAGAAACTCGCGTGTTGGAGGCGGTGCTTGACTCGAGCGGGAGAAGGCGGGAGAGTGCGCGGGGTGCGAGGGGCGAATGGCTGCTTGGTTCGGCAGCATGAGTCAGCAGCGGCCAGCGAGGAAATTGCCCAGCCTCCTCGTGGACCCGGCGGAGGAGACCATTCGCCGCCGGTGTCGAGACCCCATCAACGTGGAGGGCCTGCTGGTAAGACACGATGGCCTGCCCTGAGCCACACGGGGTCGTGGGATAGAGGGTCTAGGCACTGAGAGCTCTTTGAAAGGGAGGCCAGACTGATTGTTGTCTATACTGTGAGCTTCCCCAGGGCTGGGACCGCTTCGCCTCCTGTGTCTCTGCAGCTTTTCCACTGCTTACTGGTGTGGCAGCGGAGGATAAATCACTGGAATGCAAGGTCTGTTTGAAACGCAAGGTTGGTGGTTCAAACTCACCAGCTGCACCTGGGAAACCCAATACAGGGGTAGTTTTGAATCAAAACTGATTCGATGGCACTTAACAATTACTATGGGGAGCGCGGTGGCCCCGTAGGGTAAAAATCTGACTGTGAACCACTAGGCCAGCGGTTCGAGCCCACCAGACACTTGGCGGGAAAAAGATGGGCCTTTCTGCTCTCTCAATGATTTGCAGCCTCAGAAGCCCTATGCAGGGCCTCTGAGTCGAAACTGACTCGAGGCACTTAATAACAGCAACACCTATTATGAATCAAACTAATCTCACAGCTCATAAATGTGTTCTTGGCTAGCTTGGCTCTTACCTGGGACACCAGAGCACTTCTGGAGAAAATTGCTTAACATCACATTATAAATGCATTTATTTTTGTCTTCTTCAACTGGGCCCTCAGTACAACTGTGCATCCTCTCATTTCGTTTTTCTTCTCAGCCTCCTCTCCCACCCTCTTGCTTAAATACAGCCTTTAAACGCTTTTTCCACACTTCACGGATCCCACCCCACAGCTCTTCGTCCAGTAAATTCTCTTCTGTCCTGGTTCACAGAGAAAATGGAAGGAGGGCTGGCTCCCTCCCTGCAGTAGGCTTATTTTCTCTATTGTTCTAGACTAGAAGTTTTATTCTCTGTGGTTCCCAAGACCCATGATGGTCCCATCATTTGCTCTTCCAACTTCTCTGCTTGCTTATTTCTATAATTTGTTAATAGCTAAACACTTACTGGAACAGTCATTGCCTAATTCTGCCAAATTCATTTAATTCCTCACAGCAATCCTAAAACTAAAAGATAAGCACTGACTGTCGTTTTGTGTTTGCTGCTACTGGTGTGTGCTGTGCAGTCAGTTCAGACTTGCATTGACTATAGAGCAAAATAGAACTGTGCCCCGTTAGGTCTCCCAACTGTAATCTCCTCTCCCCTCTCAAGAAATTCATTCTGTAATTTTAACATGTGTTAGAGTTAAATTTGCTCAGATGCTTAGGTCTTTTCTCCCACAGAGCCAATGGGTAGGTTTGAACCACCAACCTTTAAGCAATTGAGAACTTAAAACATTGCGCCACCAGGGTTCCTGATTCTTGCTTTACAGTTGCCAAAACAGATTAGGAAATACTTAGTGACTTGCCCAGGATTAAATAAAAATGTTGTTAAATGCTGTCGAGTTGGTTCTAACTCATAGTGACCCTGTATAGGGTTTCTGAGGAACAGCTGGTGGTTTGCAGTCAAAGTGCTTATCCTACAGTGTCACACCAGGAGTCCATCCAAACAGCTAATAAGCCGTAGTGTAACTTCAAAATGTCTGACTCCAGATGATGAAGTCTTAACAATATAGCTGATTTTTTTTCTCTTTTTTTAACTTTTTATTTTGAATTTAGTGAAGGTTTACAGAGCAGATTGTCAGTTCTACATTCAACAAACCAAACACTTTGTTTATCTCTGTGATTGCAATCCCCTCCATGCAGCAACAGTTGTCCTGCTTCCTCCCTGTGGTTATTACCGTTCCACCCTCCTCCCAGCTCTTCCCACCTTGTCCTTAGGTGAATGTTGCTCTTTTGATGTTGAATAATTGACCATTCCATGGCTTAGTGGTTACGAATCGGGCTGCGAACCTTAAGGTCAGCGGTTTGAAACTACCAGCCGCTCCACGGGAGAAAGATGAGGCTTTCTACTCCTGTAAAGATTTACACCCTCGGAAACCCTGTACAGGGTCGCTATGGGTCGGACCCGACTCGATGGCACTTAACAACAACAACAACATGGTGAGCATACCTTAAGTAGTGTCAGGCCATGACAGTGAGTTCCATTGACATTCTGCCCAGGTCCTTCTCATGTGATCCCTTTCAGAGCGGTACTTAACTGATCTTTGTCTTAAAATAGCTCTCCCTCAATTTTATATCTCCTTCCATCTACTTTGTCTCTTCCCCTTGAAGCCAAACTTAAAAATAGTTCACTTTGTCCACTTTTTCACCTCTCATTAACACTTCAGTCCTCCTACTAAGGAACTTTTGCCCTAACCACCTCTGAAACTGAGCACACATCAGTCTATCTTATTAATTCTAGTAGCTATTTTGCACCTGTAATTTTAACATAGCCCTTATTAGAAACTCTCTAGTTCACTTCTGTGACATGCATGACATGTTCTTGGTGCTCCTGCTTATCTGGCCTCTGTTTGTGCTCCTTTGCAAACACCCCTTTCTCTTCTTTAAATGTTGGTGTAACTCAGGGCTTTCTTATACCTTCTCTCTTAATAATTGGTACCACAGCCACCATACACGGATTTCCCTAACCAATGTCCTATGCATCATCCTTCCCTTTTCCCTTCTCCAAACTGGCCTCTTTCATCCTTTTAAAATTAACCACCATTACTTGCCACTTCTAAACATTATCTGTCTTTATAGATTGTTGCAAGGTTTTCCTACCCACTTTTTCTGCTTTCAGTCTTTGTGAAAGTGCCTTCTCACTTTCCCATGTGTTCTCCAATAATAACCATAATGATCTTTTTAAAGGATATTTCTCAGCATGTCATTCAACCCAAAGAATCTGTCATGGTTTTGGAACTGACTCAGTGGCACTTAACAACAACAATATCCTGGTTCCCCAGTGCTCTCAGGATAGAATAGAATCTTAACATAATCCAGCCCTGAACTCAGCCATCCCAAAGGGCTTATTGTTTCTAACATTTTCCATATTCTTTCTGTACCCATAGGTCATCACATTTGCTCTTTTCTTTGTGTGAGGAAAACCCCCTACATACGCTGTCTTTCCCTCAAAGTATGTATTTTTAACACACGTAGTTTTCTTTGTCTTCTCCTGGGGTCCTTCAGGTCTAGATTTATAGGTCACTTGTCTGAAAAGAAGGAACCCTGGTGACTCAGTGATTAAGTGCTTGTCTGCCAACCAGAAGGTCAGAGTTCAAACTTAACAGCTTCTTCTCAGGAGAGAGATATGATAATCTGCTTCTTTGAAGATTACAACCTGAGGAATCCTATGGGACAATTCTACTCTGTATTGTAGTGTCACTGTGACTTGAAGTCAATTAACTGGCATTGGGGAGTCCTGGTGTGGCACTGTATAAGCGCTGGACTGCAAGGTTGATTTGAACCGCAAGGTTAGTGGTTCAAACTCACCAGCCACTCCTGGAAAACCCTATACAGAGTCACTATGAGTCGAGAAGACTTGATGGCACTTAACAGCAACAACAACTTGCATTGAGTTTGGTTTGGGTTGTGTGAAGAACCCTTCCTCACTTTTCAGGATGGGATTAAGCATTCTCCCTTTGTGCTCCTAAAGCATTCTGTGCTTACTTACTCTTCTCTTTGCAATGTATGTCCCTTCAAATCTTTAGTACAGGGACTTTGTCCATTTCGTGTTACATTCCCTAGCAGACTTCAGCAAATAGTTTTGAATGAATAAAGTAGGCCCTCTGTAAGTGTTTGAATGTATGATTGTGTGTTTTTCTGCCTTCAAAGTAGGAATTCTAGCACCTATATCAATGTTTTGTTTTTAAATTGGCTAACAATTGGAAATATTTAATAAACTGTATTGCTATGCAAAGATTAGTTGTGTACCTTGCTGAGTGTTTGGTGTTGCCTAAATAAGAGAGGAGAATGCAGTCACCTTGCATAAAGGTCTATTTCCAAAGAGCTCTTGAAGGAATGTTACTATCTAGAACAAAGAATTCCAGTATGTGTAGGCAAAAGTAGGAGGAACAGGATACTTGCATAGCTCCCCACAGATGCATCTTTGAAGAGAAATTTGTAGCCATCTTGAAATCATTGCTTAGAATTTTTGTCCCTGAGACTCATCTTTTATTCTTCTAGTGTGGAAAAAGCTTCTAAAGTCACTTAGGCGTCAGCCAGAAATAATAGGGTCAAGGGATTGGGCACTGTCCTCTGAGATCTCACATGAACCTATAGGCCTTTACCTGTGTTATTTGGAGCTGTAATGAAATCTTACGTTGTGGGTTAAAACACTGAACTGCAAGGTTGGTTTGAACAGCCAAGGTCAGCGGTTCAAACTCACCAGCCGCTCGTTGGAAATCCTTCAAAGGGTCACTGTGAAACGGAACCTACTTGACAGCACTTAACAACAACAGTGAAATCTTAACTTGGAACTTGAGAAAATCCTACAACTTGCCCATCTGGAGCTGCTGGTTCCTGGAGAATCATTTATTCAACAAAGGCATTGACATCATACTCGGAGTTACTCGGTTTAGAAACACATATCTTCTCTATTCATTCTCCAGCTAATATACAAACAGGCTAGATAGTAAACCTGAGCAAATGAGAAAGAAAGTTATATCACTATGTTGTGATATAGGTAAAGATCAGGGTCTTCCTGCAACTAAGGTCGTATAATTGGTAGTCCTGAACCCAGTCCTAAGCCAAGAATTATCTTAATATAAAAGAATATGGATGCTATGGGAACTTTGGAAGACTCCTGAATTGTGGATCTAAAGGATTTATATATATTGGGATGCCTGGCCCTGAGGGGTGATGATGATACTGTTGTGATTCCTCCAAAGAAAAAAAGAGTAAATGAATGATCTTGGAGTCTGGTTTACCCACATGTATGCATATGTTGTTGTTAAGTGCCATCCAGTTTGTTCCTACTCATAGTGACCCTGTATAGGGTTTCCCAGGAGCAGCTGGTGATATAACCAATATGTAATTGAGATATTAGCCCTGTGCCAACCTGTAAATGGCACCAGTCCAGATGAAGAGATAAAAGTCAGGGGCCAATGTGTACAGCAGAAAAGGTGCCCTTCTAGAATATTTGGATAGCTGGGAATGTGGTGGTGGATTTGGGAACCTTTAAGTGTTGTGTGGAACCCTGGTAGCATAGTCGATTACCAGATGGGCTGCTAATCTCAAGTTCAGTAGTTCGAATGTTCTAGTCACTCAGCTGGAGAAACATGAGGCTTTCTGCTCCTGTAAAGATTTATAGCTTCGGAAACGATACAAACGATTGCTGATGAGTTGGAACCACTTGATAGCACTTAACAACAACAAAGTATCTAATGGAGTCCCTGAGTGATAAAAATGGTTCACCTGCTCAGCTGCTGGCTGAAAGGTTGGAAATTTGAGTCCATCAAGGCACCTCAGAAGAAGGTGTTTTAAACATCAGCCACTGAAAACTCCTATGTAGCACAGTTTTACTCTCACAAACATGGGTTCTCCATGAGTGGGAATTGACTCAATGGTAACTGGTTCGTTGGTTGTATTGTGTAGATTTCTCTGCAGCAAGACACCTGTGAACATTGCTGTGTTAACCTCTTCTGTCTGCAATTTCAAGTGTACACTAACAACCATAATGAAATGTGTCCTAACACTATTAATTCAGCAGTATGCTGCATATATGAGGGCATGTCAAAAAATTCACGAGAAAATAGAATTGAAAGATACTGAAATTGTTCCATGAATTTTTGAAGCACCTTCATGCATGCAGAACAGATCAGTGGACTGAATGGAAAACTTATAAACAGACCTTAATAATTTACTTAGCAACTTAGGATATAGCAAGAGTTGTTTCAGATGTTATGAGGATAGAATTTTTTTTTTTTTCATTTAAGAATCTTGCTACAATAGGTTTGTTATGTGATAAATTTTTAGCCTCCCACAGAAGAGTTAAATACAAAAATAGCATTGATAGCAGTCCTCCTTTATGTTTTGATAGCAATGTTTCAAGTGTTTTGCTGTTGAATATCATGTTGCAAGTCACTGTTGTAAGCACAGTTTAAACGAGTTAGTTAGACACAGTCTCTGGCAAGCCAAGACAGCCATTCCCAACTCTAGTTTTTCATACCGTAGCAGGTCAGCATATAAGTTCTTAAACTAAGTTTTACAGCAGGATCCTATTTCTGTGAAATTATTTCAAATCAAATTACCTTGTTAATGTTGTTGTTATGTGCCATGGAGTCGGTTCCGACTCATAGCGACCCTGTACGGGGTTTCCAAGGCTGTAAATCTTCACGGGAGCAGAAAGCCTCATCTTTCTCCTGCGGAACAGCTGGTAGTTTCAAACTGCTGACCTTGCGGTTCACAGCCCAATTCGTAACTACTACACTACCAGAGCTCCTTACCTTGTTAATCTTGTCAGTAATGATTAGAAGCAAATTACCTAGTGTGGCTAGTTCAGAAATACCACACGTGGATGCTTTTAACCAACAAATTTATTCTCTCTCAGTTTAGGCGACTAGAAGGTCAAATTCAGAATGGTGGCTCTAGGCGAAGGCTTTTTCTCTTTGCCAGCTCTGAGGAAAGGTCCTTGTCTGCTCTGTCTCTGTAGGCCCACCTTTCCATGGAGATCCATGCATCTTGGTATGAATCCTCTCTGGGTACACCTCAAGTACTCTTATTGATTTCTCCCAGCTTTTTTTTTTTTTTTTTTTTTTTTAACGGACTGAAAGTTTTCTCTTAGCAGGAGTTGAGCCTGGTCATACATAGCCTGGCTGGAGGCAGGCTATTCCTAAACGTGCTCATTCTAAGCATGACAGTATTAACATTGCTTTAAGGTTTCATGTTATTTGTTACTATGTGAAAAATGGCTTCTAAGTATATTACAAATGTCAATCTCCAGCTTGTGTAAACTTTCTTGACCTCTGAATAAATAGCTGGGGTAATGGTGAGCCTTAGTAATGGGGCTACTACAGATGGCCTCGTTTTAAGAATTTAGAAAACTTTCTTAGTAGTCTAATACCAAAGTTTCTAGTTATGTACAGCTTGTATTAATTTCCATTATTAGAAATATTGTGTTTTATATGAATTATGATTGGAATAAATGTATGGTTATAAAAAAAATTAGGATAAAAAAAATTTGGAGCCATATATACTGAAATAGCAAGAAATGAGCATTTGTTATTTTAGACATTATCTTTCCCCTCTGTAGAACTGTCCAGGGGCTGTGTCTGAATCATCTTTGTGTTCCTTTTTATCCTCACTGCAGATGCAGTTGATAAACAAATAACGATTTAGTACCAAATGATCATTTCTCCTTCATTCTTTCTGTCTTTACTACTACCATACCTATGGGAGCCCATGCGTTATTATGGACATGTTTTGGTTCTTTCTTCTTTTCCAGTTTTATAAATTCAAATCTATGAACATTGTCAGATATGATTAGATATAGAGTAGATATAGTTTGAAAGAGAGATTACTTCTCTTAAATTAACACCTCAGTTTGGGGAAATGGCAAAAATAAATAAATCAAAACCCGACATTTATCCTATCCAGTAGAATAATATTAATTTTCATTGTTTTGTAAAATTGGTAAATTAAATTTTTTATGTCTTTTTTTCAGCCGTCAAAAATAAGGATTAATTTAGAAGACAACGTACAATATGTGTCTATGAGAAGTAAGTTTACTTCACAATAGATTTCAAGTTTTGTAGTTTGAACTTCATACAATTTAAATGATTTATTTTAAATGTACGTGAGTTGGTGAGAAATTTACATGTATAGTTTCTGCAAAAACTCGCAAGATTATGGGCTGCGTAACGTATACCAATGCTAGTTTACTCCCCACTGCTTTGGAAACATGTAATTTTAAAATAGAGCAGTCTATGGTTTAGAGTATTTTCCCAAAATATTTGTGAGAGAAATTATGTGCTATCAGCAGAAATGAAATTAGTTTGGCAAGAACTTGTGAATAATCATTTACTCTCCTAGTTTCTATAAACTCCCTTTACAATTTCCTTCTTGGCCCCTGGCATGGTTGAATGTTTAGGGTGTATGTTAAAGAAGCTAGGACGTCAGTTGGTTTGGTTTCCTATCTGGGAATCTTTACATTAAATTACCCCACACCTAGTATCCTCCGAGGTGACCCTAATCTCAGTGGGTAACCAGTTTCATCTGTGCAGGTGCCCAGTCTAAATTTTAATGTTAACTTCAGTTCCTTCACGTCTCACTCACATTTGCTCACCAGGCTTGGTTATGATGAAGTGATTCCTTCAACTCTCTTATTTCACTTACTTAAAATAATATCTAACTTTATTGCACTGCTGTAATGCCTCGCCCTGTATATGCACTTTGCATGGGCTATCACAACACCCTTTAAAATATTGGTATGGATTAGTGTTTATATTTTATAAGGAGATTTGGTAATCGGTAGTTAATAAGGTGGTGGTTCAAACCCACCCGCTTTTCCGTAGAAGGAAGACCTGGTGTCTTAAGAGATTATAGCCTAGAAAACCCTATGGGACAATTCTAATCTGTCACATGAGGTTGCTATGAGTCAAAAATGGACTTACTGCACCACCACCACCAACAGTCTTAATATTTTATAGATGAGTAAACCAAGGGCAAGGACTCCTGGTGTGGCGCTTTAGGATCAGCACTGGATTGCGAACCATAGGGTTGACGGTTCATACCCACCAGTTGCTCCTTGGAAGCCCTATATAGGAACGTTGTGAGTCGGAACCACTCAGCAGCACTTATTCAACAACAACAGACTGAGGGCAGAGAGGTTACTCAAGAGTTAGGATTCAACCCTCACCTTTCAGACTTGAACTCATTATCTCTTAACACACTGTGTTAGACTGCTTTTTCAAAAAAAAAAAAAAGATTCAGGTTCCCACTCTCTCACACTGAAACAGTGGAGTAGCTTCCTAAGTAGGTGAGCAGTTCAGGGTCTTCCCATCCCTCTTACATTTCTGTTGCCAATGCAGTTTTTCTAATACAGAAGTGGGATTATGGTATTATTTAGCCTAAATTCTAAAGTGATGCCCTGTCACATGTAGAGAAAACCATGACTCATCATATGTCTGGTTTTACTTACAAGGGGGCTTCAAAAATTCATGGAAAGATGGAATTTAAAGATAATGGAATTTTTCCATGTACTTTTTGAGGCCCCATCATATTTGTATAAAGCTTACAAGCTACGTCATTGCAAAAGAAAGGCAGTAGAGAATGGATAAATAGGACAGGGCCCTTCCAGGTTGTTTCTTGCTAACCTTTTCAATCCCATATTCCAGCAGTTCTCTCTCCTTATTCATTGCTAAAACTCAGCTATGTGTGTATTCCTACATACACCAGCCTCTCAAATGCTGCTTTACCATTTGACGGGTTGTTTCTTCTGTCTCACTTTGGCCCTTGCCCTCCCTCTGAATGAGAGAAAGAACACCTTCCTCTTTTGTCTTTCTATACTTTGTTCCCAGTACGGTCCCATTAGGAGGCTCTCCTGGTTTCTCATCCTAGTTAAGGTTTTATCTCATGTTTTAAAGTCACTTTGATTACTTCTCTTAGTCCTTTATCCGATTTCCTTATTAGACTGTTGTTGTTGTTAAGTGCTGTCATGTCAAATTGGTTCCAACCCATAGTGACCCTGTATCGGGTTTCCTAGGAGCAGCTGGTGAGGTTAACCATCAACCTTGGTGTGGAGCAAACTAACCTTGTAATCTAGCGTTTTAACCCTCAGCACCACACCAGGACTCCTATTAGACTGTTGGAACTTCTTTAATTTGAAGACCTTTTTAATAGTTTTTATATCCCCTCAGCAGTTGGTATCTTCCAGGTGTTCAATTAGTAATTTGTTTTTTATAAAAATTGACATGATAGGAATGTACTTATTTTAAGCTTAAAAGAATTTGTAAGGCATTAAGTATGATTTAACATAGACTTTTTTAAGTTACAGTTTCTCATTTTGTAGACTTTCAAACTTTGTTGTAGAATTGTGACTTTTTTTCTACTTCTAGTTAAAACATTAAAAAAAAAGTCCTTATATACTCTTGTTTAATCATAAATATGGGACTGGTGGCCACAGAGAAGGTGTTTGTGTTATAAAAACTATGCTTTTGTTCTTGGAGTAATTGCCAGTGATATTTAAATATCACATTGCAGAGGTTCTGGATAAGGGTAGTTCTGATGGAAGATGGTAAGAACTTTTCTTTGGAAGCACATTGGCTGGTATGCTATGTAGTCGAAAGAATGAAAAAGCATGACCCACATCAGAGTTGACAACTAAGTTATTATTAAAAGTATGAGAGTAAGTCAAAGAGCATTGCTACTTTTGGATAGATACCTTTCAACAAAACTATCAAAATGTGAAGTTATTATTTCTCACATATTCTCCATCTAGGTCTATATACTTCTGAAGGCAGTATTTGTCTAACCCTCCCTTGAAGAATTCTGCACACTTCAATATACACCACATCAAAATGGAAGATTTTGCATCCTTGAATGGCTTAAATCATGTTCCTTTTCAATGTTCTCTTGAGTTTGGGGAATCAAAAGAAATCTGAAGGAGCAAGATTAGTTCTGTTTAGTGTATGGGATAAGGTTTTCTAATGTAATTCTTCTAGGACAGCCCTTGTTACCCTCGAAGAATGAGCAGGTGCCTTGTTATGATGGAAAAAAATTTCTCAACACAAGTCCCTGTGGTCATCCTGTACCATTCAAGAAAATCTGTCAAAATGACCTCTTTGAAATCTCAAAAGCCAGTTGCCATAACCTTCTGAGCTGACCTTTCTGCCTTGAATGTAACTGGCCCCAGCAGATCTCTTGGGAAGCCACTGTATTGACTAGAACTTAATTTTTTATGGGGCGCCCTACCAAGGTTAAGACTGAGTTTCAAATGTTTGTGGGGAAATGACATTTTTTTTATTTCCTAAGTTTTTATTGTGAATTATGTGATAGTTTACTTGGGAAAACATTAACTTTACATTCATCCCATCGTATTTTGTTTCATTGCAATGATTACCATCCCCTCCATACATCATCAAGCAACCAAAGGGTGCACCCCAAAAGCCTACCCCCTGGCTACCAGCACACAGCCCCTCTCCCTCTCTTGAGTCCAGAGCCCCCAGCCACTCCATCTGTCCACATTATCATCTCTGCCTCCATCTCTGGCATCAGTGCTTCCCTGGGTAGGGTCCTGCACTCCGCTCTTCTCCCTTGATGGTTCTAGGGACCTCCACTCCTGGACTGCAAAATCAACCACTTCCCTTCTTTTGTTACAAAACATCTACCTTTACATTTCTAACCCTCACAGTCAGTCATGATAGCAATTATTCACTGCTGTACCACAAGGGTCTTATCCCCGTCTCCTTTCATCAGCCCCGTCCAGTCAGACTGGAAACCACTCAGTGGAGATTCTACCTTCCCCCACACCCCCTGGAACTAGGCTCCTTGAAAGCTTGTAGGCAAGTTACTTCTTGCCTTTGTAGCCTCCCCCCTTTTGGGTAGCCAGTGTCTTAAGTTGCCCATCTCTGTAAACCCTGTGTACCAAGGGGGTGGGTATGATTCTCACTGTAAAGATTTGTTCCCTCTTTTGAGCTACTGCATTCATAAGTGTAGGTCAAGTTCATCAAATTGTAGCAGATTACTCTTTTTTTCCTCTTTGTTCTTCTAGTCAAGTTCTGATCATCCAGCCATTGAAGCCAAATCAAGTGGGTACTATCTGCAAGTATGGGTGTTCTTGTGCATCTTCCCTCACTTCATATCAGGTAGACGCTTCACTCTCCGCTCGAGTCCTCTGTGGCTATGTCACTGTCTCTGAGCCCAGGAGTCCCCAGGTCTTTCCATACTGCTGGCCAACCAGGTCTCAACCCAGGTTCACAGGAGTCTATTGAACATGGTCGGACTTAGCTCACAACTTCATTGCTGTAAAATTCCATTATTTTTTAATTACATTTTTTCACAAACTTTTTGAAGCCCCCACATATTAACTGAGCAAACGTGGCTACAGTCATCCACTGATTGCAGAGACATATTTAAACATGTTTTGCTTGGAATAAAAGCATTTATGAGCTAGAACCCTAGTAGCAGTACTTTTTGACCCTCTTATTTCCTTTGCAGACCAAACCATTAAGAACTCTCTAGTAGTATAGGATACAATTAGAAGTTTGTTTTTTTAATTACAATGTTCACTTTTGGCAAGGAAATGAAGAGACCGAGACCCTCATATACTGCAGAATTGATAGACACCACACGGAGAGTGGTTTGGTTAAAGTCCCTTTAAGATACCCTCAATTCAGCAACACCATCTTCAGCATCTTGGAGATTATCTAAAGGGAAGAATTAAGAATGTACAGAAAACAAAACAAAAAGGAGTCCTGGTATGGCACTCAACCATAAGGTCAGTTTGAACCACAAGGTCAGCGGTTCAAACTCACCAGCTGCTCCTAGGAAACCCTAGACAAGGGTTCCTTTGAGTCGGAACCGACTTGACGACACTTAACAACAACACAAAAATTTAGCTGCATGGAAGTTCGTTACAGTATTGTGTTGAAGACAGTCTAAATTTCAAACACTGGGATTCATTTAACAAGTATTCCATTCAGTTGAATATTCTACAATCATTAAAATAGAATTTATGTGGTAGATTCAAAAAATTTGTGGGAAAGTTGAATTAAAAGATAATGGGAGTCTTCTACAAACTGTAAAGTCCCTTCATAAAGAAAAACAAAAGCTACATAGTAGATGGGTTCAGGCATTAACCTGATTTCCCCCCTTCTTTTTATTTAATTAATATAGGGTAATGGGTGTTTTAAAAAGACAGATACACCATTTTTTGTCAAGGTTTGTATCATAATTGTGTTTATAGAAGATTAGTTAGGAAATTTTCAGAAACTTAATCAGAGTTATACTATGATATGTATGGAAACAGTCTTTTTTGAAGACCAAGTGAGAAATTAAACTTAATGAGAAATAAAAACTGGTTGCATATTTCAAATACTTCAAAGGATGTAAATCAACAGCCTTTGTTGCAGTCTGGCATAGGTTCATAAACTTTTTTATCCATTTTGAGAAGTTTGTTTTATAAGAGATCTTAGCCATCATTTGATCAGTGCATAGGAATTTCTTTGTGTCTATTTTTACTGATCAAGAGCAAATAAATGATTTGAAAAAAATAAGTTTAAAAAGAAATGTTACTTAAATTTTTACAAATGTGTTTATTTTGTTTCCCAGAAGCTTTAAAAGTGAAGAGACCTCGTTTTGATGTATCACTGGTTTATTTAACTCGAAAATTTATGGATCTTGTTAGATCTGCTCCTGGGGGTATTCTTGACTTAAACAAGGTTGCAACAAAACTGGGAGTACGAAAACGGAGAGTCTATGACATCACCAATGTCTTAGATGGAATCGACTTAGTTGAAAAAAAATCTAAGAACCATATACGGTGGATGTGAGTTGATTTGGCTTTTCATTGACTTTTTCTTGTTTTCTTTTCATTAAAACAAGCTAGATAATGGCAATGTTTTAATAGTATTAAGCATTGACATACGATTTCTTGTTAGAAAAGGACGTTAAAATTTTTTTGCAGAAAATCACAAGAAGGGGACATCTGGTTATATAGGAGATTTTAAACAATTATTTCCTCCCTTGCAGTTGATTATTGGTAGTAGGAGGAAATTGGTTAAGTTTCTAAAATAATGGTTCTTTACGTGTTAGTGTACAATAAGTATCAGGAGACCTCATGAGTGCTAATTTAGTAGTTCTGGTAGACTAGCAGGAATCTGTATTCTTAACATAAACACCAGATGTCTATGATGCAGGCGGGCTACCGTTGACACTTTGAAACGCTTTGTCCAGAAGATAAAGCATACATTAAAGAAGAGGGGCCATTTTATGATTTGGAGAGCAGAAAAATCAGTAAACTTAAATTAACGTTTAAAGACAATTGCTAAAGGCTTAAAACATGATTAGGAAGGAGCCCATAGAAAAAAGGACTCTATGAGATGTAAATATATATATATACACACATACATCTGTAGATGCATTCATACACCATATGTGTAACAAGAAAGCTTGTTATGCTTACAATAGTCAAATAGAGACCTTTTAGGCAAATGGAAAATCAACAAAGATCATTAAAGAATTCTAAATAATTAACATAGTTGCAAGAAGGCTTCCTAAAGATTTACAGCCCAAGAAACTAGATGGGGCAGTTCTGCTCTGTCCTATGTGGTTGCTGTTAGAATCAACTTGATAACTTACAACAACTAAATAGCATTAAAAATACTCTGGATTGTATTTTGAATCTCCTGTTGGAATCAGACTTGAAAGCTAGCAAGCAAAAGATAAAGTGATAACTTTAGACCTTTCCTCTCCATTTTTCATAAATATGGATAAAATCAATTATCAGTTGTTATGCAGATCATCTTACATTGGAGTAGAAAGAAAGAAATGAAGTGAATATATCTTTCTTGTTTTTCTTTTGTAGAAACTAAGATACTAAAAGGTACTTTATCAGAAGCCATGCTTCTGATACATACATAGTAGAGCGGGGGCTTGCACTGGCTATCACTGACACTTTAACTCAATGCTCTTTCTACCAAACTAAGCTTTCTGTACTGTTATTAACTTCAGTAGGGTTATAATATATTTCTGAAAGTACAGAAATCTCTGCATAAGATTAGGAGCTATGCATGGGAGCAAAAGTCAGTTTACGTACAGGAAGAATACTGGCTGCTAGACTAAAGAGAGCAGGAGTTAAGTGGAAGTACCTGGTGTCTACTATAATAGAAAACACTTAATATAAACATTTGAAGAAGTTCCAGTAACCTTACCTTGCATTTAGCTTTTTGCAATGTCTTAGATACTACTTTTGGTGATTTTTAAAAAATATATTTTTCTTTTAAAGAGGATCTGACCTTAGTGATTTTGGAGCAATACCCCAGCAAAAGAAACTACAGGAGGAACTTTCTGACTTATCAGCAATGGAAGATGCTTTGGATGAATTAATTAAAGATTGTGCTCAACAGTTGTTTGAATTAACAGATGACAAAGAAAATGAAAGATATCCTTTAACTCTATATATCTATTTTATTTCTACTTCCCAAACCATTTACTTTAGATAGTACTGTCAGCTTGGGGGTTTGTTTTATATATTTAAGATACATATAAAAATGAACTAGATCTTTTAAAGTTAAGTACAGCCTCAAGCGTACCCACATACTGCCTTTGGCTTCTTTGTGTGAGTTTCTGTGGATTAGCTTCTGCATTGCTGACCTGAGCTGGCCAGTGTACAGCAGACTTCACATTTCCATCTAAAAAAAATCAGAGTGGTGGAGCTTGCTCTTTTGGTCTTTATAATCTGAGAGTATAAGGACAGTAAAATGTTTGCTGGCTTTTCTGTAGCTCGGGTTTTCCTCAATTTGTGAACTAAAGTTGATTTTTGAAACAGAATGAATTGCCATTAGAATGCTACTTAAACTGCCTTTCTAGTCCACAGGAACCTAATATAGCTGAGTTCAAATACTGCTCTTAAAATTAGTGTCTCTGGTACATCACAGGGAAGACTTATCTTTGGTATTTGACCTTCTTCTAGGTATGCTACTCTGCTCTTCTCTGAGAGGGTATCATTAATTCTGAGCCGTTCGGTCCCTCAAGTTTACTTACTTTCTCTACCTCAGTCGAAAAAACTACCCATGAGAAGAGGAAGTAGAAGGAAAATCAAAGCTAACATTGTAGTTAAAAAAAAAAAATAGTAGAGAAATCTAGTAAATCACTTCATTGGTAACATTTTAAACAAAATGCATGTAGGCAGCAAGAGGGAAAATAATTTTAGATGAAAAACCCCATGAATGCAGGCTAAACTTGAAAACTTACTGTGTAAAATGTTTCTGCTTTTTATGGATTTTCATTTTAGTGGATGAATTTTTTTTTTCTTTTCCCAAATTGTACTCACAGCAAGATCTAGCAATGAGTAGGAAATAGGTAGGGTGAGAATTTGAATACCTTCATGAGTTATATCTATGTGAGGATTTAGAGTCTATAAATATGTTACTTCAGAAATTGTCATCATATCAAAATAACACAGTTTAAAAAAATGCTCAGAGTTATATTTATTGTAAAACAGTTGGTAAAATTGTTATAAATTGTAAGAATTGTTTATGAAATAATAAGTATGCGTAAAATCATTTTTATATTGACTGCATTCTTTCCCTTAATTGTGAGGGTTTTACCTTTAAAAAAGATGGATATTCCAACATTATACTTGTATTCATGTATTATAAGAGAGCAATTATCTCACCAATGAGTAGTCCTCTGCTTAGAGATCTTTAACTTATTTTTATTACACTAGCATATGTTACCTATCAAGATATTCATAGCCTTCAAGCCTTCCATGAGCAGATCGTTATTGCAGTTAAAGCTCCAGCAGAAACCAGATTGGATGTTCCAGCTCCCAGAGAAGTAGGTAGCAAAGCATTTTAAAGAATACTTAAAGAAGTGGGCCAACTTAATTAGGCCATATTTTAATTAAGCAGTCATAGTAATTTAAATATTTTAGTGATATACCTGGTTCTGTTCAAGGCACTTTACGTATTTTAAATTATTTTTTACTTAATACAATAAGTGACATAGCTTAGTTATTCTCTTAATGATGAAACTGAGGCTCAGAAAGAGATTCAGTAACTTTGCCAAGGTCATACAGTAAGTGGCAGAGCTAGGACTCAGACATAAATGGTTTATAGCTTTATAGTTATGTTCTTAACCGTTGTGCTGAAATGTCTCTGAGAAGAATCACCAAGAATTGACCTTAGACTTGAAGTTCCAAAAGTAAGATCTGGTATCAGCCAAGGCTCTAAATAATTAACCTACTCACCAAATGCTTAGAAGAATAATGAATAAACTAGGATGCTAAGTTATAGATTTTAAGTGAAAAATAAAGTTGCTGTAAATAAAAATATTCTAATCAGCTGCCAGCTGCTTAGCACATTCTTTCCCTTGCAGGAAAGTTTCTTTTGAAAGATAATTGTCATCAGAAGGTTGCTTGGTAAGGTTGGAATCAGAACAAAGGGATGTGGCCATTCTTGGGACAAGTCATCAACTTTGGCAGCCTGATAAAACCATCGGAGCTTGTAGTGATACACCCTTCATTGCTATAGGGAAACATACCTGCCTCATATTGAAGAATATTCTGTGTCCATCTTTCCTTTTATTCCAAGCAGACCATTGTCCAATTGAAACCTCCTAGTGTTACTTGACAGCTTGTTATAAATTCATGAGATACTAGCTTTCTTTCTCTCAATCACATCTTACTTGTGATTTCTTGGTGATGTTTCCTGTTTTCTGTTTTTATTTGGATTTATATATATTCCAAGTCTTCTAAGTAGTAGTATATTTAATATGAGTGGGTTTGCAAATGTTTAAACTCAATTTTTAAGATAAGTAACCACTAGTCTTTCAACCTATTTTAATTTGTGGGCATGATAGTTCATTTTATAGTGACTAATGAACTTTTATTTTTTTCCCCCTTATGCTGTGAGCTTCCTCAGACTCTGTCAAATCTTGCTGAGCCTATGATTAGGTCCAAAGCTTGTCTAAGAGTCCCATTTAAAATCTATGTACTTGGGTCCTTTTGGCCAGCCATTCTCAGTAATCGGAGAAGTAATGAAAGCAGTGAAAGAGAGCACACTGTTCAGTAGGGTCTGACCACAAAAGACCTAGGGAGAGAGCCAACTGGGGAGCTATCTGTAGATCCTAGTGTAGGGATTGGCAAACTAGGGTTAAATCTGGCCTCCTTGTTTTTGTAGACAAAATGTTATTGGAACAGAACCACATGCCCATTTCTTGAGATACGTTTGTGGCTGCTTTCGTGCTACAGTGCAAAGTTGGACAGTTGTGACAGAGATGGTATGGCCCAAAAGCTAAAGATATTTACTATCTTACTCTCTATACAAATTTGTCAGCCCCTAATTTCATGGAATGTGAAGTCCTCAGCTGCATGCCAATTCTGAGCAACATACCAGTTTCTTTTATTTTGTTAAATAATTGTAAAAGATATACCTTTCAAGCCAAACCTGGACAGGCAAGCTAGAAGCTGAGCACATGTGTTCTCTAGTCTGCTTGTCTGGTACCAGGAAGCTATAGAAATAGAAAGGCTGACAGAGGAGACGCTGAGACCCTCAAGAAGGCTGCATCTCTGACCTCACTCTTACAATCACAATGAGGTGAGGAGCAGGAAGTGTCCACAATATCCAATCCAGGCCTAACAACATGATAAGAATAGGTTTTATGCTACAGTTGAACCAATTCACATTTAAAAAAAATTAAAAAAAGTATCATTTTGTAGGGACTATTCCTTCAGAATTTAGCATATTTCTCAGAGTAGAAGCAACTGATTTCCTGATGGTATCTCATGGGACAAGTATTTTAACTGAAGGTCCACTGATCCACTGCCATCAAATCAGTTCCAACTTGAAGTGATCTTGTATAGCATTTCCATGGCTGTACAGCTTTACCCAGAGAGCCTCTTTTCTCCTGCTGGAGTGGCTGGTTAATATGAACCACCGACCTGTGGTTAGCAGTCTGGTGCTTATTCTACTGTGCCACCAGGGATCCCTGAAGGCAAAGGATGTGAATAATCACTCCTGGTGTGGCACTGTAGAATAAGCACCGGACTGCCAACCATAAGGTTGGTGGTTCAAATCTACCAGCCACTTATCAGAAACCTGTATGAGTCAGAACTGACTCGAGGGCACTTAACAACAGTTAATAATAGTCCTTTATATGGCTATCTTAATACTTCTCACAGTTTGAAATGGCACGAGGTGTATTTTTATTTGATTGCTTCCTCTGAAAATTCTTTAAAATGGATTTTAAAAAATGGTCCTTTCATTTAACTCAGTACCTCTTCTGTGGTCTGAAGATCTAAACATACCCGTTTAAGAGTGTAGGGTGTTCTAGTGTTCTTTACACAGACTTTTGACTACCGAGTATGGATTCCTTGAAGGAGTCCTTGCCTTGAGGAAGGAAATGCTCTTTAGTGTTGAAGACTTCACATCATGACTTTGAAAATGTCCTGTTGATTGTCTGTTTTAACTATATGAATTTGACTAATGGATTAATGTAACTATAGTCAGATAAATAGGGAGCTTGGTAGCATAGTGGTTACGAATCGGGCTGCAAACCTCAAGGTCAGCAGTTGGAAAATACCAGCTGTTCCATGGAAGAAAGATGAGGCTTTCTGCTCCCGTAAAGATTTACAGCCTCAGAAACCCTGTACTGGGTCGCTATGAGTCGGAACCGACTCCGCGGCACATCATCACCACCACCACCACCAGTCAGATAAATGATTTACTTTTCTAAGAACTCTAGTAAGTGAAAAAATGTGATTAGTGAAAATTCTCTTATTCATCTTCGTGATTTATATCTCTTTTACTAGGACTCCATCACAGTACATATCAGGAGCACCAAAGGGCCTATTGATGTTTATTTATGTGAAGTAGAACAGGAGAATATGAGTAACAAAGTAACTGAAGATGTAGGCACCTCTTCATCTGAAAGCAAGCCTGTAGAACACCCTAAGGAAGGTAAATACCAGTTTTGTTACTAGAAAAAATGTAAGATCCTAATGATTATATATAGTTGGCCTTATGAATATTCTTACTCATCATATGTATAAAAACATTTAAAGAGTATTTTAAATGTTCCAAGGAGTCCTGGTGTAACGCTGTAGGATAAGCACTGGACTACTAACCGTAAGGTTGGTGATTCAAACCCACCATCCGCTCCTTGAAAACTCTATACAGGATCACTATAAATTGGAAACTAACTCAATGGCACTTAACTACAACAACATATATAACAAAGTAATTCTTCCTGTAGTTTTAAATATTTCAAAAAATTTAATTGCATAGTTAAGTTTTATTAAGCTTTCACATCAGTTAAAATTTAGTATTATGGTGGTGTCAATTGATGGTGTTCTCTTTATAGCAAAAGACTATTTAGTCTCTGACAGATGCTCTTGAATATATACTTCAGTTTATTTATTCTTTTGACTTTTAAAAAATTAGCCATGAGACTATGGTAGATTTTCTTTGTTTTTGGAAATTGAATCATATGTTCTGTTGCTCATCTGTCTTTTAAACTTTGCTTAGAGTTTCTCTCATGTGTGTTCTTTTGTAGAAAAAAATCCTCCTCAGCAAAGTGAAGAATTGCTTGAAGTGAGCAACTAACTACCTACCTATAGCATTTGAGAATTCATGTATTAAGTTCTTTTGGAACATCCTGCATGGATGAATTATGTTATCAACTTGATTCTCAGAGCAATAAATCATCCATGAAGTTCTCTTGTGTCTAGTTAGCAGCAGATTTAGGGCCAGTACTATCTACAAGCAGTGCACTGCTTAAATTTCTGGATAATTACAGCTGCAGCATTCGAAAATAAGTCTTTATATAATTATGTACTGTTTTTGTCAGTTAAACAGACATCTTGTCTACTGTTGAAACTTCACAAAGAGTATCACTAAAATGGATGATCAGAACGGAAATGGATGCTCTTCCTAGGTACTTCCCTTTTCCTCAAAGATTATGTGTCATAAATCACAAACGAATTGCCTTACACTGGTTTTTGTTTGCTTTGAAATGTTATAAATTGGATGTGTTTACACAAATGGATCTGAATGTGATGTCTGTATATATTTGTATAATGTTTTAATTACTTATGGGAAATGTCTAAGTGAAACTTTTCACTGTTGTACAGCCAAAACAATGTATATATAGAAAGTAACTGACAAATTCTCTAATATCTGTGGTGTTTATAACTTATTAGAATCCTCTTAATGAGGGTGAGAAGAGAGTTGTTTTTTCATACTTCTACATGTAGAAGTATCAAAAATGTGCTATACGTTTAAAATTCATGGATTTAATTAAAGTATTTTAATATAGTTTCCAACTCTAAAATTGGGTTCGGATAACGTGATGTCAAGCTACTTATACACTATTAGATGATGGCTTAATTCATTGTGAGACATAAATTCAATGATGGTGGAAATTGGAAACTATTGTAAAGCTCTTTGTGAGCAAACTTTATAATGTTTCTGTAAGCCTGCAGCCTTGTTCTTCAATCAAAGTGGTTTTACTGATAATGAGTTGTACCCTGCCCTGTGTCCAGCTCTAGTCCCATATTTCCAAGTAACTAGCCATTTCTACCTCATTGGGTAAGTCATTTACCACTCTGTGCCTCAGTTAACTCAATAGTTTGCCATTAGACTGTGAGCTCCTTGAGGGACTTTATCTTATTCTTTGTTATATTCCAGCACCTTGCACCATGCCTGGCACTTAAAAGGTGCCAAATAAAGGTTTGAACAATGTTGCAAAAGTGAGTGAGTGAGTTATAAAATTAGTGTAATAATACTTGACTTCTCTCATACAGGATTCTTGTGAGCATCAATCAAATTAATATTTTAAACCTCTCGATTTCTAAGAGCGATTTGATGCAACTTTAAATCAAGACTGTATCATAAGATTTACAATAGGAGTCAAAAATTAAAATGTTTAAGAATAATGCTGCCAATTAAACCTGTTTTTTATGGGATTGGATTGGGTTGGAATTTCCTTAAGCTTGCATTTTCTGTGCTGTAATGTGATTAAGTTATTTTAAAATGCCTATGTCCTCAGGATTTAGGATTTACTTACCTCTGAGATCCAGTGGCTTTTGCCAGTCTTATCCCACAGCTAAAGACCCTCCTCTCTCCTAGTAGACTCTTCTAGTTTATTGGTATATACCTGGAATTGTTCACTTTTCTCCTTCTGAATGAGTGCCCTCAAAGACCTTTACTCTTTGTTTTATACAAGCAAAAAAATTACTTGAACTGAGCCAAAGAAAAGCTACCAAGGACCACTATTTGATCACCACTGGACTAGAGGGTGGTACAGTTTAACAGAATAGGAAGTACCGGCATAACAGCAAGGTTAGGGTAAAAATTAAGTTTGGGACTTGTTTGATGAATGTGAGAGTTTAGGCAGGTAGTTGTGAGGCAAGTGTTCAATGCAAAGATTGGAGCTCGGTTTACAAGTGATGGTTAAAACTATGAGAGTGGATGAGGTCATCTAATGAGAGGGTGGAGCAGGAAAAAGGAGGGAACATCTATATATTTAAGATGGAATACAGAGGGCAAAAAGAAACCTTTCCTGAGAAGGAGTAATAAGAAAAGGAAAAAACATAAAGGTAATGTCCCAAAAACTGACAAGAGGAAAGCATTTCCAAAGATGGCAGTACTGTTTCTGAGCTGTAGTTCTATATTTGTGAGACGTGACAGATGTTCTTCACAAATTGTATCATGTAAGTGAAAGTCCTTTATAACCTGTAGACTATTTTTCCCACCTTGTCACTCCATGTTCAGGTGTTTGGTTTCAGAAGAATTGCTAAAATAAGCACCCCTCGAACTAGCTTCCAAGCGCTCCCTCCCCACTCTTTCCTACTCCATCATTGCCACTTTCTTCCATGTCAGTCCATCCTGTTTAGAAGACTTGTTTCCATATTTCCTTTAGGCTGAAGTCCAGACTGTCACGTGAGACCTCCAGGCAAGCCCTAATCCAACTTTCCAAACTTGTCTTTCTACTTGCTTAGTAAGTCCTCAACCCAAACCAGATTCATCTCTGCCTGAAACACACATTGCACTTTATTATCTCTGTGCCTTTGCTTGTATAAGCCTTCCTGAAATTACCCTCTTCTTGACTTTTAAAGTACATCCCTATCCTGGGCCTGCTGTAATCATGGCTAACCTACATCCCTCCCTTCACTTTACTCCCATTATGCATACAATCTAGGGAATTTCATGCTCTTCTTTCTCTTTATTTTGTTGTAAGTTTTCCCAACTGGCATGACATGCTCTCAAAAAATAGAGACCATATCTCATGTATGGGTCACGTATCCTACATTTAGGCAGTATTCAGTAAGTTTTTATGTTTTGTTTTTGTTTTTCAATAAGTTTTTGCTGGTTGATCTGACTACATTCATTACTACCAAAAATTAAAAAGAAAACAGACTTCAAAAACACAAACCAACAAATTCAATTTTCACTGGAAGAAAAAAAATAATACTTTATACTACTTTTAAGGAGCTCTGGTAGCTTAATGGTTACGAATCGGGCTGCCAACCTCAGGGTCAGCAGTTCGAAACTACCAGCTGTTCCGCGGAAGAAAGATGAGGCTTTCTGCTCCCGTAAAGATTTACAGCCTCAGAAACCCTGTACAGGGTCGTTATGAGTTGGAACCGACTCCACAGCACATAACCAACCAACCAAAGTCATGAAAAGCAATTCATTCTACAGGGTTTCTGAGTTGGGTCTTTAATTCTCTTAATATTGCCTTTCCTATTCTCACAGTAGACAGGCTCAGCCATGCCAGGTGTTTTGCTGAGCGTTAAGGCAGTGCCTTCTGGCTTATTTCTCACTTTTGCAGCTTTTCTGACCGCTAAAGACAGACCTGGCAGCCTGAATGGCATTGGATCCCATTCTCACTAGTCAGGTGCAGGGTGAGGGGATGTTGTAGGGCTTTTATCCTGACCGTTTGAGGAGGAAGAGGTAATCCCCTCAGAGGAGGTGGAGAAAGGAGCACAAAATGAAAAGAAGGGGAAGAAGGAGCCAGGATGAAAAGGGGAAAGTTGTGGAAGGGTGGAAAGAGGAGAGGGAGAGTGTGGTGATGTGGCCTGGGAGATGGGAGTAGGAGGAGCAGCCTGTGGCCAGAGAAGAGGTCCAATTCAGTGTCCTGATCCCCAGATGAGAGGCCTTTGCTGCATCACCAGTGTAAAGTCTGGAAGTGAGATGCCCAGTGGTGGGGGCTCGCAATTAACCTTACCCTACTTTTTAAAAATTTTGTTGATAGCCTGAAGGAAGAATAGCCTCAATTTTCTAAAAAGACTATTAAACACCATCCCTTATCAAATACCTATTTGTGTGAGGTTGGACTTTTTCTTCATAGCTCAACAAAGTGGATGCAGAAGCAGATTCAAGAATGTTTTCTATCAGGCCAAACATGAAAAGGTTTGTAAAAATATAAAATAATACCACTTTTCATGAAATTGTTTTCGTTTTTGGAAAAGAGTATTTCTAATAAAAATTTGAGGGTGAGTCAAAATATCTGTACTCTGGCTGCAAAATTTATTTAAATTAATTTTTAGGAGAGACAATTACATCTTTTTTAGACATAATCTTGGTTTTCAATACATTTCATCCGTGTGTCAACAAGACTGACCCTAATATGTCAAGATATATTTATTAATGAATTATCATTAAATTTTGTTTTAATTTCTAGTTCTGTAAATATCAGTTGATATAGCCGTAGACAAAAGTTTTTGTGACTCCCCAGTAATATTTTAGAATTTTAAGAAGTCCTGAGACTGAAGAATTGGAAAATTGCCTGGTGTGGCGCTGTAGGATAAACACTTGACTGCAAGGAAGATATGAACCACAAGGTCGATGGTTCAAACTCACCAACTGTTCCTCAGAAATGCTATGCAGGGTCACTGAGTTGGAACTGACTCAGCAACACTTAGCAACACCCCTAGTTTATTCTGCCCAGGAACTGAGAACTATGGGGCATCCCTTGTTGTGTTAAGAAAGCTGAAGTGGTTGTGGGTCTTGACCCAAAGAGGTGTACAAAGGCACACACAATGTTCTTTTAAACACCCACAATAGAAAGGTGACTTGTCAATAAATGGACTTAACAACAATGGCCATTCACTCAGAAAAAGAACGTAGCCTTGATCCCAACAGTTTTATCTTTCTAGCTTTTTGAGGCATTCTGTCTCCATCCTTTTATTTCCAATGAAAATAATTACACCAACCAACCAATCATTCAAAATATTCCTAAACAATTGTTGTGAACATTTAGGCTATAGGAAAAGCCTTTCATTGTACACCTGTAGATGTATATTCCCTTTGGTATAACCACTGGCTTTTGGTTTCCGTGTTGAGGAACTTTGTTCTTAGTAACACTCATGCCATTCCTTCCCCTCGCCTCCCCAGTCATTTCTGCAGAAGAAAATGTGTGGTTTATCTCATTGAGGATTATGAGAAAAGGAACTGAGCATTAAATGTTCAGTCCCTTTTCAGTTTCCTGAAAATTTTCCTGCCTGAAAATGCGTTTTTGTCTGCCCTCATCTAGGTAAGGGGTCTTCCCAAGGGGGAGGCCTGTAATAGTTTAATTATGCCAGTAGTTCTCAATTCAGGGCAACTTTGTTGCCCTAGTTTATCTCACATATTTTGAATGTGAACAGGAAGGAGAGATGTTATTTACTTG